TGCCCCACCGCCCCCGCCGGCGCCGCCGACGTCGTTATCGACTGCAGCGGGCCCGTGCCCAAGGCCTCCGGCGCCGACCCCGCCGCCGCCCACCAGACCACGGTGAGTCGCCACACTGCGGGCCTCAGGACGCCTAGGGCGAATTCCGAGCGGTAGTTTTCATTCTTTTTTCTCTCCAACGCCAGGCGAATGCCCTATTAATCGGGCCACAGACCGCGCGAGATCTCTCCTCTTTCTTGTCCTATCCTCAGCTCTTACTTTACACACACTAACATTTGCATGCTCTGCTGTTCCACACATGCCGGGAGACCAGAGGCTTAGGGCTTGTCCCGGCTGTGGCGGTGGGAGAGACATGATTGGGGACGTATTGCAATCCCGCAAGCCGACGTATAGGTCGGTACCGATTTCGCCATCCAGCGGGGGAAGATATCCGCCATCTTCCGCGATAGAAACGTACACCACACTTACGGTGCTAATGGCCGTATCAGTTGACGAGCCCGGAATTACTAATTAATTAGTCAATGATTAGGACATGAAGACATGTAAGGTGAGGATTACTCACTTTAGATTCTTTTCACCACACTTAAAGTGCGTGTAGTTTAAAACTTTGTCAAACTAAATTTCCAAAAGGTTTTAACCCAAAAGTGAAACATGAAAGTAAATATTTTATTTACATTCATAAAAACAAAAATATAAGAAAACTTCTGTCCTCATTTCTCATTGCGATTGTCAGGGCCATCTCTTGGGGATTTATTGATACTATGGCTTTTAGAGACCCAAATTAATTGGGCTATATACATAAATGTATTTAAAATTATAAGCTGAGAAATAATGATTTTGTTATCTATACATTAATGGAACTAAAACACGTCAATTCTGAACTAATTTCTCATTGACCTCAGTTCATGTCCTATCATTCTTCTAGGCTGTTTATCTTGTTGTAAACATTCTTTTTGTTTATTATTCAGTATTCAGTTATTGTACAATAATTAAAATGTCTCTAAAAGCAAAGGGTCTCTCTCATAAATGTGTATTATCTGAATGACTTAAATAGCAAAATCAATAAAGAACCTCACTTTAAGAAGCTGTTCTAGGAATTTCTTTCAGCTCCAACATTGTGATGAACACAGTTGTGACTGCTTGTTGATCCCACAGGTGACAGTGGATCTGCATTCCACGGCATCCTCGCCGTTATCCTTGCCTGCCTATCCCAGCTCTGATGAGCTGGCCAGTGGCACTGAAGATGAGCTGCCGCTGCCTCCTCCACCTGCGCCAGGATCTCCTCCCACTGCTCGTCTCTCAGCACTGTCACGCTCGTGGACTGCGATGCCAGCCGGTGCTGAGGCACACGCTGCTGAGCAAGACTTGCTCAGCTCCCTTGCACTGCAGCAGAGCCGAAATGGTTCCGATGCCAGTTTTAAGGTAATGTGGACGCCATGGATGATTATTTTTTTACATTACATGTAATATAATTAGTGATTTCAAGTCTCATGTTGTTTGTTCACACTTTCACAGCATTTTGGATCTGTTACTTATTTTCAATACTGTTACTGTATTCTTACATATTGTGTGTTGCCTCTAGTGTTCTGTCACAATCATAAGTAATTTAATGTGGTCCAAATTTTATATTATTTGTGATTTTATTTTAATTATGCTATTAGCAATTAACTGTGTATAATTTAATATTAAAAATTGTTTACAGTGTGTATTTCAAACTATTTCTAGTAGGAAAATGATCATAAATATAAATATTAAAATATTTATTTTTAAGACAGTTTATAAATAAAAATATTCAAAGTAAAGTATTAATTACAGAAGGAAAATGAAATAAAATATCAATAGTTTTTTGTGATTTATAACAACGGACCTCCCTTAAATTATTTTGGAAAAATAATCTTTGAGATATTTTGAAAAATAAGAATAGTTTTTTCAGATCTATGCTTATTATTTTTTTCTTGTATCATGCATATGAAAAAAGGATGCTAGCTTCTGTTTTTGAATAGTTAGATATCCTTATGCCCTCTAAATCATTGTGAGTTTCTGGGGTGTATGATATTATCAAAAAAGAAAAAAATCTATAGCATAATTTTATTTCACCATATCTTGGGGAAAAACTCATGCATTAGTTTCATTATGGGAAAAGACAACAATATCAAATTAAATAAAATTAACATTTTTGCGTAGCAGGTTGTTTTTGCAATTGCAAAATTTAAAAATATGAAGAAATATTAATTTGTATATTTGTTATCATTGTATGATGTGCATACTTATTTTCCTTCTTGCAGTCAAGTTCCAGTACAGAGTCTGACTCCCTCCCTTTTGCCAATGAAAATGCTGGAACCATAAAGCAGAGAGCTACCCGGCCTCATCCAACCCTCACAACAATGGACTATCCAAAAACTGGTGAGCAACTAAATTCACTGCTATAGTTTGTTTTCAGCTTTGCCTGCCTATTCCTCTTCCTCTTTTGCATTACCTTTTTTTTTTAAATCTGTGTTGCTTTCTCTCACCTTTAATGATTCCCCTTCTTCCTTTCATCCTTCAGTGAATAAACTTTGTCTTCTCGTATATCTTGCCGTGACTTCCCAAATTATTATAGATACCCTCTGTCTGGTATTAAAATTTCTCTTCTTCATTAATTTCTTTTAATAGCAATTCAAATATTCTTTATGTTCATTGTTATATGTGAGATGCAGATGTTTGTGCTTTCTAAAGATCATAAGGGTATGGAATGAAAAATTGAAATTTTATTGTTGCTTTCTGAATCCAACAAACTTTGGCAATTCTATCCCAACACAACATGTTATGTATTTACTTCTGGATTATCAATTTGAGAACACAATTTAACATTATTTCTGGTTTTTCTCTTTCCTTAGAGTATACACCACCAAAACGGTTACCCAGCGATCTCGCTGCTAGTCAGAAGGCGCTAAGAGAAAGGTAAGAATTGCTATTTGCTTTCTCCATCATTATATTTACTTTGTGGAATTTATTTTAAAGCTATTGCCATAAAATAGGATGAAAGGGGTAGTTAGAGAAGTAAACTATTGTTTCTACACTCCAAAAAAATAATCAATTTAGCACTTATATGATGTAAGGAGGGGAATTTAATTAATTGCTTTAGAGCAAAAGGGTTTTTGTGATAATCGTGGAAAACATCTATCACAATGTTATCTTATCTCTTCATGTATGAAAGTCATTAAATTGGTAAATAAGTTTCAAAATAACTGTGGATTTGCATATTTTAAAATTATTTCTAATTGAATTGAAAAGAAGAAAATAATGACTTTTTTTCCAATATTCAAAAATAGTTATTGTGATGTATATTCTGAATATCATGTACCTATTTTTGTGTAAAATATTTCTCTGAATATTTTGTTTTTCTTTCTTACAGATCTGAGTCCAAGGAGCCAGCTGATGTGCTGAATGACATTGGCAACATGTTGGCCAACCTGACTGATGAACTGGATGCCATGCTTGAAGAAGAGAAACGTCAGGGTCTGAGTCAGTGAGCTGTTAGTTCCTAGACCAAGGGCATCCTGAGGAGGGGTGTTCCTTGTGGGGGGTTGGCCACCAAGAAAAGAAGAGATTGTCTGCAAGTTGTGGTTGGGAATTATTAATTGAAGTCAAGAGTTTGAAAAGATTTGCCGATTACAGCTTGTCCCAAGGCAGAAGTAGTATTGTGTAGGTGTATTCCTGAATGAGACATGAAATAACCAATGAAGAGTGTTTCAAGCACAGAGCAAATTATGAGCAGTGTGTTTTAATGTCAAATTGTACACTGTGTTATTCTGTAGAAATGAACATTCCATAGTTATGTTCTCTCAATATTTGTCATTGGCTACAATGTTTATCCACCAAATGATCAGAAGTGCCAGGTTTATTCATGAATACACCCTTTTCCAATGGTATTTCTGTATTTGGGATTTTATTGGTAACTATCTTTGAAAAGTTATATCATAACCTTTAGAACAATTCCTTTTTTTAAGAAATTTGATATTGATCATTTGAGATGCAAAGTGTTTGTTTAAGTTCTCTTGTATTGTTGATGGGCATCTTGCTAGCAGGACTCACAACTCTCTCAACTTGTTAGTTGTACTGTTTTGTAATGAGGTGCAGACTATGCCAGACACAGACCTATGTGTATAGTTTATTATTAACTTGTAGATTTTTGTACAAAAATAGCAATATTATATGCCACACTAGACTCTAGGAAGCTGTAGATTAGCTGGAAATAATGAGACCTCCATTAATGTGAGCTGAGGGTGCCAAGGCTTTCATCACCTGCAATGTGGCCGGAGGGTCACGTGAGCCAGACGCACAGATACTTGAGGGAACATTCCTAACTCCGTTGAGTACCACTTGCCTGTGAACTCAATTTAACAGTACCCACTGACTCATCTATGTTCACCCTGTTAGTTTAAATAATATGAAGTGTATATATATAAAAAGAAATATAAAGTTAAAATACACATTGTGAGTTTTTAATGACTTTTCCCATAATCCTTTCTGCAGTCCCTATATTAATAGGGAATTATTTGATAACTTCTTATTTTATGAGCAAAATTGACAACAAAATAACGAAATTATGATTCTGACTATCCATTGCCTAAAATTAAGTCAAAATAATTAAAAGAAGTAATTCCCACCCTGGAGTTTTGCATTGAATATGTGGAGAGTAGATGTTAAAAATGACATGTCAACCATTTTAGACAATTTTGTTCTTTCAAAGGCAACCATTGAAATAAACAAGAGGATTAAACAATATTTTAGTTTAATTTTAAAAGAATCTTACTTTCACTTTATTCAATGAAAATATCCCCAAAAACCTTTTTACTGTTTTAATTATATAGAATACTGTTTGATATGTATATTAGCTATATGTCTGATTTGAAATATAATCTATTAAATCAACACTAAATTATAAGATATATAACATTTATGAACATGGATAACAATTTCACAGGACTTCTTCCATGATCCAACCTTGTGTAAATTATTTCCCACCTTGAGTAAAGACGTAGTGTAGCAATGAAATTTCATTTTCAATTGTAATATCGTTTCATACTTTTAAACAATGATATGTTTTTTTCACTGATTTAAATCATAAGTATTAATTTTTCAATCAAAGAAATTTTTAATTTCGATTTTTTTAAAAATTTGTTACTTATACGTAATTTTGAACAAATAATCAAATAAACTCCTTATTTGGAAGGATGAATTCATAATGCTGTATGAAGAAAAAAATAATATGTTTTATGTAATTTATTTAGAAAATGTATCACATTATTACATCATTCTCAATATTATATTATGCTAATTTTAATCAGCAAGAAAAGTCAGACTGACCAAATAAATGCAATCTTAGTGTGGTACAATATAGCGTATTTATACAACTATTCATTGATCTTCATATGACATCAATGTTTAAATAAATTCTTTGAATTTTTTAATTCAAAATATAAGCCTAGTTATTTATTAACAAAATGTATTTAAACCAGTGATGTATTTGTAAGTTCACCAAAATTAATTAACAGTAAAAAAAAACTTATTTAAATTTTAAAAAAGTCTGCTTTTTTGATTAAAAAGAAAACAAACATGTTTTTAAAGGGAGAGGGTGGCCTACAACAGCGAAAAAATCATCAAGGGGATTAATAAAAACTAAATATTCTCACAAAATTGTTTGCATTACTGGTTAGGTGTTATGGTGTGTTCAAAGTAATCCGCTAATGAAATTTGGTAAAATACATTAATGTCATCTTTTATGATGTTTAGTAATTGTGAATGTTAACACCACTCTGTGCAACCATGACCTTTTACACACTTATAAAACTTACTTTAATTTAATCAATGTTCATTAAAAAAATTGGTTTTTTGACAAATTTATAAAATTTCACCAATTAATTTCAGTTTAATAATATTTGTAAGTAAATAAATTAATCTGATCTTGCTTCAAAGATTTGAAATATAATTTTTATCTGTATTTAAATTAAGATTTGTTTCAAAGAGTGGGATGGTGTTAGGAGAAGCTACATTTTGAGAACATATTTTTCAAATGGACATTTAAAAAATATTAAGGACTTTGTTTATATCATATCTCTGCAAGCTGATTTGAAAGTCTGCGCCAGATTTCACCATCCAGCGACGGAGAAATATTGCCATGAACCCGGGAACAATCAATCAATTTTCTTAGAAGGCTATTCACAATTAATAAAGTTTTGATTACATTTTATTGATTTGAAGTCATCAACAACCAGTGCCCTAGGGTTTAAATAATTTCATAATGTCCACAATGTGTCTCAAATGACTTTAAAGGAGGTGCATGATTTTTGGTGTTTAACAAAGTATTTAATTCATCTTTTGCAGAATAATTCAACACAATGCGTTTCACATAGGCTAATAATATTTACGTCCATTAAATAACAGTAATTTCTCGACAAAGATATTAAATGAGGGATTTAATTTTTATTTATACTTATTTAGAGATGTAGCGAACAACACTGGAAATTATTGGGGTTAGAATTAATGAATTTACAAAAACAAGGGCATAGGTAGGTTCATGCTCCGCACGTATACTCAATTAAGGTTCCTAGTTCAACAATATTTTCAAGGTATTTCGTAGTAAAAAATTGTGACACAATACTCGTCACCAGAATATTTAATTAAAGCTATTTCTTATTATTGCTTCAATTGAATGGGGGGAAACTATTTCAAGAAATAACAATAACAACAACAACAACATCAACAACAACAACAACAACAACAACAACAAAGACTGTACTGGAGGGCCAGTGGCATCTGTCGCTTCGTCTATCATTATCTACTTATCCAACACCTACTGCCAAAATTTGTAAAATTTTTGTTCGTAAACCTTGCGATATAAAATTGGCAACAGTACAGAACGAAGATACGAGCAACTCGGGTTGTTTGTTTCTCAAGATGTATCTGTGTTGTCGTACGTGTTACTTTATACATTTTACAGAAGCAAATTTTACGAACTCATTTTCAGAATAAGAGCCCATGAATGTGTTACTCAATGATTTCTACATTGATTAAATTTAATTTCGGCCTATGTGAATTTCATCTTTATTTCTAAATTTTGTGTTACTGAATCGCAGTTAGGGGTACCTTTTGAATCTTCTGCAGCTGGGCCTCCGAGAAGTACAATGCTAAAATTGTATCCTCTAAAATATTTTATTGCAAGGAATCTGCGCATTTCTCTGACCATGAGAGCTTCTTTATTTTTTATTTATATATTTACATCAAAAACAATTAAAAACTGTGTGTCGTGTTATGGGGAGAAGTTAATTTGAAGTTACATTTATATCTAGAAGCAAAACAAGGGGCCATCTCAGCATTTGCTCAAGGATCACGGAAACTGGACTAAACCCTGATCGAGATGGGGGTCATTGACCCAGAAGCTGAAGTACAATACTTGTTACAGATTCTTTACAATTATACAATCCAAATGGTATATAATACATTCAATGTCATTTAATATCATTGACGTCATTAAATGTCATGATTGTTGGCGACATTGCGCAATAGATACCCAGGTGGGTACTTACACCCAGACATGACATGACTCCTGAGGCAGTGGATCCTTAGGGATACTACTTTAAACAAAAGCCCCGGCTCCATATATGAACTGAATTTCTTACATTTCTCCATGCAACAGAAATAATATATAGCAGTTAATTTGAATTAGAAACAATTTATTTAATAATAAGTATGAGTAATGCTTTTTTGTATTTGTTTTGAATGAAAAAAAATGTCTTCAATTTATTTGGAGCCCTCTCCCTTTTTTTGACGACTCGGTTCACCTTTCCCAGAGGCCAGTGGTTTTCAAACATTTTGCTGCCGTGACTCTCTTCAGGTAACAAATTCTGCACAAGCCTCCCCTCATTAATATTAAACTGTTAATAACAACTAATTTTTTCCCTGATAGTAAGTCCTTCATGTATTCTTTTTTATTATTTACAAGGTACAAAAAATTATTTCAATTAAATTGCACTATTCACTGTTGTAATTAGTACTGAATTTAATTAGTTTGAGAATGAAAGCTACGGAAAACTATAAAAAAAACATTTTAACTTATTGATAGTTCAGAAAAGTCAGCGCAGTGGATGGGCTTATTTGGTGTCACACAACGCGTCGAATCTCGGCACTAATTTAGAACTGGCAAAACGCATCTCATTCTGGAGATTTATTCTTTTATTTTATGAATTTATTTACCTATTCGTTTATTTTATGAACGCACATATATACTCCGATAGTAATATATTCACATAGAAATAATTAGAACATTATTAAGCATTTGAGCATTATTTTATTCAATGGTTATGAAATTCTCGCGCCATCACCTCTGAAACTTTTGCGCCTGCCACGGGAGGCGCACCTCGCTATTTGAATGATATTACCCTAGGTTACTCTCACGTCAATGGACACGTGACATTACGTCAAAAGACCGAGTTTTCTTGGAACGTGTGGGCCCCCTTTAACTGTCAGTGCCCATTTTACGTGTGCAGTGAGTGGAAGTGGTGAAAATTGTTTTCCTGAATAGAAATTTGTAAACGAGTTCGCAGTATTAAGGTAGAATATTTTGCTGAAACTCCAGTTTAATATTAATTCATTAATCAATTTTGAAATATAGATGCAGGGTAATGAGCAATATTTTCTGTGTAACTTCGAACAATTTACAAGATGGTGAGACAAAATGTCAAGGCATTTACAACCCCCCCCCCCCCAACAAATACGTTTTTCTTCAAAGGGCGTAATATTTCCAGTTTCATACAAAAAGTGATGGCATGTATTCGCAGCGATATTAACATTTTTGGGTAAAGTAATTAATGAATTATGTATTTGCTTCAGGTGTTCTGTTTAATTTGTTACACACTTTGGGGCAGGCTCGGTTTAACTTAGAATTTACTATAACACGAGCTACGGGCCTCGCGCTCTTGTAACTTTGTATAAATAACACAGAAACTTAATTGAAAAAATGTAAATTAAAAAATGAAATTTAAATCATTTAAATATAATATCTTTAAATTTTCGCAAGATGCAAAACAACAATATGAGTAGTGCCTCGTAGTTCATGTTTTTAATTAAGAACATTCTCTTCTCTCTGCGGTGTCTCAAAGTTTCTAAATTCACTTGGAATTTTAAAAAAAATATTTTATTTATTTATTGTACGTCAAAAACTGTGTGTGACCTGCTACGGGAAGACGTGAATTCTGTATACATTTTCTTAATTATGTGATCCATACCCTAAGCCATATTCTAGTTGAATTTCGAATTTAGAAAGAAATGAGCGTTTTTTGTGAGGGTTGTTAACGAAACATTCGCTCCGATGTAATAAAATCTATTTCCAAGGGTAAATTAGCCATACATTTAGGCTCTCATCCCTCATCATGCCCTTCGTGAAGGAAAAATACTTCCCGCCGCGATATGGAGATCGATAATTTGAATAACTAT